TTTTTTTTTTTTTTTTTTTTTTTTTTTTTTTTTTTTTTTTTTTTTTTTTTTTTTTTTTTTTTTTTTTTTTTTTTTTTTTTTTGTGGAGATTTAGATGGTTGCTAAATAACCTGCAGGGTCACTAACTTTATTTAGTGGGCATTTAAAGAGTTAGAAGTTTCTTTTATGAGAGACTATAAATAACTACAAATTACTATTACTCCCTAAAACGTAGATTTTTTTTTTTTGAGGAATGAAATTAAGCCCTCAAGTTGAGACTTTCACCCTTATAAATTTAAGCATCATATTTGTCATTTATAAGTTTCATGTTATTCTTGTGGTAGATTGCATCCGAGTCATTTAATCAAGTCTTGATTAAGTTTAGTTGTGAACTGACTCAATTTAGAACAATATTTCAAATCTTACTTCAATATCTTTGATAGCAATCTAATTCTAGTCTCATCTCTTGGTTGATTTAAATTTTATACAAGAAAGTGTCAATTTTTTTTATTCAAGAGTTGTTGCTTGAACAAAAGCTTGGATCATTGAGATGAGAATTTAGATGATCTTACCATTATATTTGAGTGATAGCGAGAAAGATCTTGTAGAATAAATTTATCATTGTCGAAATATACCAAAGTTAGAGTTACTCTCTTATTAAATGCTTTCTTATTTTTAATAAAATAAAATTGGTTCCTTTCACTTAGTCCAATTTGTTGAGGGTTCTGATGGAGGTATATGTGCTCCTTGTCACGACATTTGGTTCGACTTGGAAAGGTTTGCACTCTTGTTTTAAGCCAAAAGCAAATCCATATATCTCATAATTCGAAACCAATCTAGGTCCCTAAGTAGTTTCTTCCTTTTCAACTTCCTCTTATGCAACAGTTATCAAAACCTCAAAGTCACATAAGCCTTAACTTGTGTGCACTCCGCGGTTCGCTAGTCGTCATATCCTATCCACCTTTAGAATATTTGTGTTGACGTCTTGGTTACACCTTCCTAATCTTAGGGCATAATGTGTCTTAAATCTTTCCTCATGCTTGTTCATAGTCTATTCAATATGCGTTAAGTTTGTCAATGCTTCGAAAATAAAAATTTCTATTTCAGAAGTCATCATACTAATGAGTTAGCATCGCTACTCATAATTCAAGCTACCTCTTTGTTTCATGTGCTAGCTCACTCTAAATGCATCACATGACTTTCTTTTGAGTCATAAGTTGTCTAATGCATTGAAGCTCTTTTGCTCATGAATTGCTCATTTTTATAGTCCTTATCAACTCATCACGAGTGGGTCGTTCACCCTTACGCGTGTCCCTAACGTATCGTGCCACTAGTAATATACATTTGACGTAATCTTCGTATTATTAGGGTGTACCATGCCATGAAAGTTCCTGGGCTCTTGCCATCACATCATGTCCTCCCTAACATTAGCGATCTTGTGCCACCAATCGTGCCTAGCGGTTACGACCCAACAGCAATGGCCTTCAGTCGGCTCTTCAATTGACATATAGGAGGCTTATTTCTCTAAGTTGGACAAGCACCTCATATTTTTGGTCCATCCAAGTATTTTCCTTAATCATGTGTAGTAGTATGTCTATATTTTTAATGCAACTACCGTGAGCATCAACTCGTTCTACAAATTTGTGTCTAAGTTCACTCTTTTTGCATGCGGAAACTTCATGTGTTGAGCCTATTCCACGTGCTAGATTTTTCTCTTTTGAGGTGATCCAACCATTCATGGCATCCTATTAGTTATACTAGTTTCAATATTTTTTTGTTATGGGATCATCTTTTTTGTTGCAACACCCCTCTTCGTTGTTGCTTCGGGTTCATCGTGACTCTTTCTCATGACACTTCGTGGTATGGTGAGGGTGTTTTCTCGAGGTTAACATTAGTGCTTCTTGAGTAGCAAGTCGTGCTTGACCCTCGACACCTCCTTCGGTGTGCTACTCTTTTAGTTCTTTCCTTGAAATAGACCAAAGTCTTAAGGAGTTAGTCTCCTTCTAAAATCTTCTAAATTTTAAGTTCAAAATTCATTTCAGGGCCTAAATAGGCTTAATATTAAGATATAATATTTGGAGAATATATTATAATAATTAGCTATGGAATAGATTAATATTTTCTCCTTTATTATTTGATTAGTAATATATTTTATTTTATTCTCAAGATTTAGTTAGTTTATATTTTTCGTATTTTGGATATGAGTTAGTAGATTATATCCTATTTAAACACGGTGAATATCAATGAAGAACGCACTTTTGATCTCAATTTTATTTCTCATTCTTAATACTTAAGCCACTTAACTTTTTCAATATTATTTGACTCTATGTATGCCCTTTTATGTTCTTAACACTAGCATCTAGGTGTGTCTACTTGCCAAACGCTATACTTACTTATGTATTTGTTTTCAAGCATGTCATTGAATGTGACCTTTCATCATGGTATCTCAGGTGAGGTAAGTTTTAGATCACTTTGGGTAACATTTTTGTACCTTATTGTCTAACCAATTCTAACTCTTTCTACTAGCTATTCAGGTAGGGAATGAACACTTCATTTGCACTTCATTTGCACCATGGAAGTGTCGACATCAATTTTGATTTTATTTAAAATTTAATAAATAGACAAGGTTAAACAAACTAACATGAAAAAAAAAATATAGAATGTTTTGGCGTGTCTTTAATCTAATTGCTCCAACTCTTCCAACAGGCGAATCTCTTATTGAATCTCTTCCATAAAATCTTATTTGCTATGACTCCAATAGAATACTAACTACTTGTTGTAACCGTATCAGTCAAGGAGGGAGAGACCATCGTCTCTGAACACTAAAGAGAGGGTGCTATCACTGCCTTTGAGACGCTCCATCAATCGAATCGACGATGACTAAAGAGAGAGACGACCAAAAAATGTGAGGAAGCAACACTAGCGAATTGTAGTAAAAGCAGAAGTAAGATCAATCATACTCACACACCCACAAACATAAATGAATAAACATAACGACTTATGTTGTTCAGAGAGAAGATGTTCTCATACATCCATGGATGGTAGTCAATCACTGTAGTATATCTCACAACACTCTTACACTACAAAATATCACTCACAAAATTCCTCTCAATTGCTTCTAGACCAATATAAAATGTCACTCACATCACATCGGATAAGAATTGTCCATTTTTATTTTTATTTTTATTTTATTATTTTACCTTTTGATTAAAAAATTTGTGAAAAAACAACAAAAATTTAAATATAAATACAATGAATAAATTGTTACATTGTTATAAATTTAAAATATAAAAAATAAATTATTAGATTCTTTTTAAATTTTTGTGTTCTTTTCGTATGGGCTGGCTTATGAATGCCTTTAAATCCTTTCTAAATAATTTTAAATAATTTTAATATTAAATTCAAATTCAGAAATTTTTATTAGAGATAAGAAAAGTTAAAATAGGATTAATTTATAATTAATTTTTATTAAAATTAAAAAAAAAGAGTTAAACAATATAGTAATTTAATTTCATGAAAGAAAAAATTGAATAAAATATATGATAACTCAATTTCTAACTTTGTTTTTATTATGTGCTTTAAATATGGTAAAAAGTCCAAAGTAATAAAAGATTGTAATTAATGTAAATTTAAATTTCTTTAAAAATAAATAAATAAAATGAGACTAGCATTGATTAGGTTATTCCATAATGAATGCAAACTAGAAAATAAAAATAAAAATAAATAAGGGAGATATCCATAATTGTTGGTTGCATTGTTAATAGTATTGATTTTTGTATAGTTTAGTTTATGACTCAATTTTTAAGTTTAAATTTATTACAAAGGCAAAATCGATTTTATGATATAATAACAAAATGAAATAAAAAGACTTACTGGTGTGGTGTTCTGGAACGACCCTATCTGTAACGCACAACTCTGAAACGCTCCTCCACCTCAACTGACAGCTGTGAACACCTAGAAATGTATGGGGAAAGGGGTAAGAACAAAAATGTAGAGTAAGCAACCTAAATGTAGTCTCTCATCACATCCAATTTCTAATATGCTCAAAGATGTTTGGGCCTATTCCTACAATTTTTCTAAGCTTCTATGTAAGTCTCGAAATTTTATGAACAACCAACATGATTCATCTACCTATGTAGTCTCATTAAGAATTGCAGTGTCATTCTTGATCCATTTCTATATATTATAAGAACACTCACCTAGAATTATTCACAAGTGTAGTCCCAGATCTTTTATCGAGACTGGTTTACGGAATCACGACATCACCCTTAATCCATTTTACACACATAAAAAAACTCACCTAAAATTATCTATGTGTAGTCCTATATGAGTTGATTACTCACCTTCTACATTCTTATAATTTCTTTTAAATAATTTAGAAAAAAAAGTCGAGTATTACACATACTAGTAAGTGTTTTTATTAGTGGGGTAACAACCTTAATTTATTCTTAATTTATGTGTCATGGCTGACTTTATAACATAACTTTCTTAACAAGCACCGTTATCTGTATCTGAAATTCCTGTCTTTAACTAGAAAATATTTAATAAATAATATTTAGTACATATCATAAGAACTTAAATAAATATACCCACCATCAAAATAATATACTAAAATATTATTAGAGTATGCAACCTCTCATTTAATGAAGTATAAAAAAAAAATAAAAAAAAATAAATAAATAAAAAAAAAAAAGAAGAAAATTATAGAACCTCAAGAAAAAATATAAAAAAAATGAAAATTTAAAAAAATGTATGACACGAAGAAAAATATTTTTATAAAGATGGATTAAAATTCTACAATTTTTTTTTGGTTATTTTGAGTTACATAAACAAAGTTTTGAAAATCCAAACGAAAATTATAAATTAATTGAAATTTAGAAATTTAGGATGAACTCAGTTGTGCAGTTGGCACCTGTCAAGTGAAGTGGTGGCAAACGGGGCAAGCTTCACAGGGAGACTTATCGAGCAACTATTCGTCCACGTGGCTCGTTGGTGAAGGAGAACTCGCGATCCACTCAAACCCAACTCGCTAGTCTCGAAATCACGATCAATCTATCTACGCCTTGACTTGAATCGTCTGATTTGCCGACCCAGATGGAAGAGTCAATTAGAATAACGACCCTAAATTTATATTTACCTAGAGTCGCTACCATCATAATAATGTAATCATTTTGTGCAGAAATAAGCATTTAAACTTTATCATAAAACATAAACTTCATCTTAAAACACTGCCATGAATTTACTTGTTTGAAAACATTTTTAAAACGACACAACAAAATACTAAATAAAATAAATAAACATTGAAATTAAAACACCTTATTCTAACCTAAGTCTAAGAAAATAAGTACAACTACCCAATGCAATTTGTCATAACCTCAAATTGTAGTGTTGTTATAAGTAAGGATGTCTTGCCTTTATCTGAAATAAAAGTAGGACACGATTTGAGTATTTAAGAAATACTTAAAAACAACTTTCCTCTCGGGGTTAAATGCAAACACATACAATAGCTATCTTAAATGGACAAATGGATGTGTACTTAATTTTCCTACACACGCTCCACATGTGCGAGTATGGACCCATCAGTCGGTTCGCACACCTTCTGGACTCCTTTTTGGTCGGGCAAGCATTTTCTGGTAGTTATTGATACTGGACACCCGTTAGGAATAGTGATCATCTTGGCAGCATTATGGTAAACATAATGATCATTCTCTACCTCATAGCGTATGCGTCCGTACTATCATGAAGGAGAAGGGGTATCTTACAATAATGCATGAGGTCCCAACATTTTTCTATTTTCATTATCATATACTACAACCCCGCTAGTGTCTTCCTTCATATCATATCCGTAATGACCCTAGATTTCGAATAACCTAAAATCACTACAATAATCATAACATACTCTCTTATGCAAAAATAAACATTTAAAAACTTCATTATAAAACACTGTCATGGACTTATGTGTTCAAAAACATCTTTAAAACGATATAACAAATTTCTAAATAAAATAAATAAACATTAAGGATAAAAACACCCTATTCTAACCTAAGTCTAAGAAAATAAATACACATATCCTATGCATTTGTCATAGTTTCGACTTGTGATGCCGTCGTCAGCTACTGAAAATAGAAATAGCACGTGGATGTAGTATTTTAAGAAATACTCACTAAGTGGACTCACTATTGGGGTCACAAACACATACAACTCATGATTAGGGACCTATTGTTAAAACCATCATAGGGGTAGCCTCCAGTGTAGATAAATTGGATGTGTAGTACTTCCCTGCACACGACCCACACGTGCAAGCGTAGATCCCTAGGCATATCGCACCCCCTGGATCCATCATAATCGAGCTAGCTATTCGTAGTGACGTTCGAAGGTCAGTAGACCCCTAAGTATCATGCAAGGCATGATGATCATCATCATCATCGTGTACTCGTCCGTACTCATTATCATAAATAGAAAAGTAACTCGGATGCATATGTACACACAAAATGTATGAGGTCCCTATAGTTTTCATGTTTAAATCCTTTTTATGACACAACCCTATACATCATTCACACATTGTCCTAGGTAACATGTCGACATTGATCTTCATATGTTCACCATCAATAACATCAATTAGGGTTGTGCATTAGAAAACTCGTCATAATGCATCATGGTATTTAATACATGCACATCATCTTAATATGAAATATCATCATACATCTTATATCATCATATTTTCATGCATCATCATTATCATGTCATCATATCATGTACATAAGGAAGATATTATGTAATAAAACAAAAAATCTAAAATGGAATCTATTAGGGAATCACACAAATTTGCAACTCACTCAGCTAAAAAGGTGGTTAACTTTATTGATCTCATTTTTGTTACTTTGTGGCCCACCACTTTTTCATTGAGAAATTCAAGTAGTGGCCAAGTTAATACCCTTTATTTTAAAAATGAAAAAAAAAAAAACTAAATTAATAAAAATAGGTAGTATTAAATTTCAAAGAACCGTGAAAGATAAGTGGATATAGGAAGTCAAGTTGCCGAGATTTCTGAAGTTCTAAATATCCTTGAAATTCCTCCATTTAAAATTTAATTTGAACTGGGGATACTATAATGAATTTATTACGTTATCAAATGATACATAGTGCGATACAGTCAAAACAAGGTATTACACTAAAAATAATAATAGATACCCTGTAAATAGGTAAGACTTATCAACGACTCTCTATCCTCTCTTTTCTTTTGCCATCTAATGGGTTTTTAGGATAAAAAAGATGATTAGAAATCCTTTATTTTTTCAACTCAATCGCTCTTTTGATTTTGGAAAAGAATTCTTTATCAATATACTGCTTCTTCTACACATTCCCCTCTACCCCATAATGTAGAGTAACTAATAGAAATCAATAACTCACTCATAAGAAAAGTCCTTCCCGCATCAAGCACTAATATAGTTTTAACGTCTAATTAGATCGGGTAATCATTCAAATTAAGAACATAAGCTCGTTACTTTTTATTTCTCTATAATTGGAGCATAGGTCCTATCCATTTATTCATTCGACCCACCCCACTTGACTTGACTTTTTATTTCCGCATCAAGAATTCAAACAAGGTTAAAGAAGTAAAGTGACTCTGGTTTAGGCCAACCAAGTAAATAGTTTTAATGTTAGATGCTCATGGACTCGGTTGAATTGCTTATGTGTTGTATGAATGACATATATATACTTGTAGCTCGTGTGCGTGCCATATTTCTATGATGGTATATTATGTTATAATTCTGTTACGTTATGAAATTAATTATGATATGAATATTATATGATGCATGTGCTTCCACATGTCACGCTACATATCTTGTGATAACATGTTTACACTATGCCTATGAGACATTGATAAGTCATGTATGTTAACCATGAAAGATGTGTCAATATACATATTCATGTCTCATAGGAATGCTATGTCATGAAAATAATGGAGGTATGATTTGCATCATAAATATGTACCTTGAGTTGATACTAGGATACTCATGCATTTTGTATGTCACGAGCATCAAAATACTTCTACATTATGATTATATGAACGTATATGCATGTATTATACACACTCTTTTCCCTCTGTGCTTCCAGCAGCGTGAGCATGCGCTAGGGGTACGTATACGAGTTCGTTTAGTGGGTTCATATATGTGTGTGGGCTATGTGTCACGGTCCTACATTTTTTACCGTGCGGCGTCGTGATCTTGAAACGCTCACGACTAGCCTTAAGGGGAATTAAGCCCCATATATATTTTTTGCCCCGGCTTTGTGGCTTCGTCGGACCTTAGGCGAGTTTTGTCTTCACCAATCAAACATCACTTGTGCGGAATCCAAGCTTATTCAACCACACACGCCGCCTGCGCGTGCATGTTCAGTCGTCTGCGACACATCCGACTTGCCTCTACTCGGGCCAAGGTCTCTCAATGCAACGTCGCATCTCATCTTGTCATCTCGATCCCCATCGACAGGGTCCATATGTCTTGACGCCACCCCGAGTCTCGGGATGTCATCGACTATCATAACTCGCTCGGTCATGCCATCGAGAATGGGCCCGCGTGTCTTTCATCACATCAAAACTTCCCGAACATCCATCTATTTGGGTTCTATCGAGGCATTGGCCCTCCCGTGCCCATGCCGAGTCATTTACGAATATCGTACCAGATAGCGGGTGTATGTAACAACCTCCAACACTCGGGCTAGGGCGCAATACCGGCACACCCGTGTCATCTGGTACTGTTCTTCAAAAACCTATTTCAAAGGAAGTCGCCCGAGACACTCGTCTCGGCACGCTCGCCCACACTGTGACACACGTATGTGCCACAGGGTAGCTCACTTAGGCACAGGGCCCAAGGGTGGTGGAGAGCTAACACCATGGTACCCCTATAGTACATTTTGAGCAATTTTCAATCTTTCAGGCATAGACATTATTTTGGTGAATGGTGTCGTGCACTGTCTGATCTCCGATTGACACCAAACTTGGCGAGCATTCATATTTCATATGGATGGACTTAACTCCTGAACTGCATGCCCAAATTCCTTCCGAAACCCTGTGATAAGAATCACGGTGTTCCAAAGGGAAGTTGGAAAACATTAAAAATGTCAACAACAGGGTTTAAACCTACACGAGTGAAGCCTAATAGATTTCAAGTTTATTTCTTTAGCCACTCAAACATATCAACATTTGTTAAAAGATTTTATTGTTTTTTTGTTTTCATTTTACAATGGCCAATTGGTCAAAATTGACTTCGTCATTTGTGGAGATTAAAGGGGATCGGGATTGAATTCTGGCCACAAACGTCTTTTGTCGGGAGACTATAAATACCCACAATATGTTATGTAAAAATCAGATTCGTTGATGAATGTAATTCATATCTCAAATTGAGACGTTTTCCTTAGAAATCCGAGCATCATATTTGTCATTTCTAAGTTTCAAGCAATTCTTGTGGTAGAATTGCACCCGAGCCATTCAATCAAGCCTTGATCAAGTTAGATTGTGGAGTGACTCAATTTAGAATAAGGTTCCAAATCTTGCTTCTAGATCATAAGGAGGTGTTAGTTACTTTGATTCAAGGGTTCTTGCTAAAATAAAAGCTTGGATCGTTGGGCTGAAGATTAGGGTTGCCTTGACTTTTGAGGTTGAGGCCTAGAACCCTACTCGACTCTTCAACAAGCCTTTCTTTGCCCTTTATGTCTCTGTCTTGCTTATGTCTCAACTTATCTTCAATGCTTACTTTGCGTGGTGGTGTGTTGGATGATGCATTGTCCTCCATCATATCACTCTTTTATATTGGTTCGCATGTGGCCAGATGGCGTCTCTTGAGGGACGCCGCTTTGCTTGTCATGACGTGAGGGTCACAACCTACTCTCTTCATAGTATGTTTTAAGGATATTTAGTAATAAATTATAGTTTACCATATATATTATATTTGATATTTTATTATAAGGAAAATATCTAATATTTGTCTCATTATCATAGGTATCTTTCCATTTATTGTTATTTCTATTTATTACTATTTTCATATCATTGTAATTCATTTGATTATAAATAAGATAACTTTCACACCATTTAGGTGTGGTAGATTAATCAAACATTCACAGTATGGTTGTGACACTATGCATAGAGAAAAGTACTGCACATCCAATTCTTCTGAATTGAAAAATAAAGGCCATGAAAAAGTTTTATGAAAAAGATTGATCATACCATAATTGTATTTCCTTACCCAAGAAACTCTTTTTAAATTTTTGTAGTGAAACTTTTTAAAATTTAAGTTTAAAAAATATTTTTTAAACAAAATATTAACAATTGTACTCGTAGAAGGGTATTTAAAAAATAAAATTGAAAATTCAAACGTAAAAGTTTATGAGCTTTTTTTATTAATTTAGAAAATAAATAGATTTGATTACTTTTGAAAGTTTTTAAATTTTCATTAAATCTTTTTATTATTTGAAATTTGATTCCAAAATTAGAAAATTTTTAGATTAAATCCTCTTATTTATTTGTATATTCACGTTTTAAAGATTTGATTTAATTACTATTAGATTAAATCCTATTATTGCTTAATTGCATCTATTAATAGACCTACTCTTCCTCTCTTATTTATTCTACCCATTACTTTTCTTCTAATCACATAACACTTAAATTCAGACCAACAGAACACACAAAGAAGACGAAAAATTAGGCTATCCCAACTCTTTACTGCAGGTATCACAAGGAGCCACATGCCCTCTATCACGCCCATTCTTGTTTAGGACATGTTAGCCTATTCTTGTTTGATGACGTGTTTATCCCTCTATAGTATAATTATTCATAACTTATAATATTGTTTTTTCTTTTTTAAAGCACTACCTAGAGGTTAAATCATAGGTCGCTTATGCCACAACCATCCGGATCTTTCTTAGATGGGTAACTTAGTCAGGGATGAGAATAAGTGTCGCACAATTACTTCGTGAGTCTTGAAAGAGTGCGACTGTTAAACCCTCATGTGCCTTTAATTTGTGTGATCTTGTCTCAATCCAATCTGACCATTTTTTACCTAATTCGAAAAGATAGAATGAAAAACTTAGAGGGATCTTATTAATACCTCTATTCAACCTTGAAGAAATCATGTTCTTTTCCCCCTCAAACAAATGTTGCTAGTGTTGGTTTGTGAAAGTTAGAAGCTTCACCTCTAAAGATTTTAGCAAATGCTCCTGTGGAAAAAGTTTGATTGCAAAATTTACCAACGAGATTCAAGTATGAAGAAAGATCAATTATGTTCGTGCAATATTTCCTCCAATGATGGTCACAAAGGTCTCATGATTTTAAGATGACAAGTCACAAAGAAGTAAAGTCAGTTGAACAGACAAAATAAAACTTATCGTATACCCGAGATTAAATGTAGCATAGTCTAAGATTAAGACTGGTATCTATCCATGCACTAAAAAAATGAATCTAAATAGTGTAATATAAGAAAATAGATATTCGATGTGAAGAATGTTTGAAGCATTGATAAAAAGGATTTTGAGGAATATCATCGGGTGGAAGGCAATGTTTGAAGCATTGATAATAGGTATTGGGGTTGATATTGATGCTTCAATTAAAATGGGTAAATAGATATGAAATTTAAATCTTTAATTCATAGGTCAATAAATACAGAATTAAATTATGTATTTATGAATAAATTTTAAAATTTAATAGCAAACAAAAAAAATATCATGATTTAAGAAAATAATACTATTATAGTGTATGGATATAATAATAATAAAATTAAAAAAAAAAAAAAAAAAAAAAAAAAAAAAAAAAAAAAAAAAAAAAAAAAAAAAAAAAAACTCAGCTAATGGTACTCATGTCTTTGATTAATAATAGAATATAGCAAAGAGTATGATTCAAATAATCATTGTTATTTAATATTCTAAAGTTTTGGGATTGTGAAAGAGAGGCATAGATAACAAATATTTAAACATTAAAATTTGGTATGGGTTTTGAGAAAGTGTTAAATAAATAAATAGAAATTATTTGTGAACTTGTGGGGCCCACTTTGCTCCCATTCCCTTGGCAAGCATTGGTATGAAAGCAATTCAAAACAAATCTATTGGGCCCCCACAGGCCCACTCCTTTCTAATTTCTTTTTTTTAATTTTTTATTCCCAAAAGACATTCTCACCCTTTTTCCATTCCATTTTTCCTTTAATTATTCTTTTTCTCCCCTTTTGTTCATAATTTTACATATTCAATGGAGGAGGATAATATCTTCTCTTTTCTTTCTTATAATCATTTTTTTTTTTAATATTGTGAGAAAAATTTTAAACATAATTTTAACGATTGAGACATATATCATAGGTTCGAGTTTTTTACTATTAAACTCAAAAAATATTTATAATATTGAAAATAAAAAAGAAGTAAAAAAAATTCCTTATATCATATATATTCCATTTGGAGTAATTTGTGACAAAAATAAAATTAAATCATTGAAGGATCTTAATCATCACATGGGAGGGGGGAGAGCGAGAGAGAGAGAGAGAGAGGATAATTTGGGAATGGTTTCCAAAATTAATGAGAAAGAAGGTCAAATGATTGAGGCTAATTTGGGTGAAATCAGTTAGTTTAGGGTTTGATGGGAATGAGATTTGAAGAGGAAGAGATTGACGAGGAGGAAGAGAATGGTGACCAATTTTTGGAATGGGGAAGAACAGAACGAACAGGTGTAACCCAAATTTGGTGAGGTGTATAACAGAAACAGCGAGTTTCCAAACATACCCTATTCTGTTCTCTCTATTACCCATCAGGAACCGCCAAAAATCATCTCATTTTTGGTCGCCCATTCCCGTCCTTCGCCTTCTGGGGGGCTCACATTTCACTGCCTCAATTCGTTTTCCTTCACATACTTTGCCCCTTTTCCGCACCCCCCAACAAGCTTATTCATCCCTTCTCTCTCCCTCTCTCTTTCTATCCCTCTCTGTTCTGTTCTCTTCTGTTCTCGTTGAATCTTTTCCTTTATAGTCAAAGAGTGTTCTCCCTTTTTCACCGCTGATTTTGGTCTGCCATCGGTACGTTTTTCTGGGTTTCCTTCCATTTTCTGTTTTCTTGTTCCTGGAGTTGTTAATGATTCCAATGTGATAGTTGTTGTTGGTATTCTGTTCGTTCGTTTATGCGACAAAACTGTTTGAGTTTTTGTATTCTCGTTAATGGGTTTCTTTCTTTTTCGGTTCCTATTATCGAGGAATTGTGTCTCTCTGTAATGGGTTTGATTGCTTTTTCTGTTTTTGTTCTCGACAAATTTCTGTTTTGCAGGATCGTTAATCTCCGCATTTAAGATCTGTGGAGATGTCTGGCTTTGAAGGCGTTTTAGTTTCTGACCAATGGCTTCATAGCCAGCTCACTCAAGTGGAGCTTCGAAGCCTCAAATCCAGAGTAAATATTC